TTTTGAAAGATTTTAGACAGTATCGACCGGAAAATCACAAAGAGTTCTTGAATTTTGTTCAGCAACGTGCCGAGGAGGTTAATGTTCGAGAATTTGCTGTTCAGGTACACGAAACATTTTATATTCTTTTCTTTTTTTTTCATGTCGTGAAATTGCATTGACTTTCTTAATTAGGACGCAAATAGCGCAGGTACGCGTGATCTTGGTTCTTTCGCTCACAGATAATACGAAGTTATCATATCAAACTAATTTCGTTTCAGCTCTTTATTTGGCGAACATGGATCAGATTCGGGCATTCCGTCATCGTCACTGGAACTTCACTAAGGAATACATAATCAAAAACACTGTACATCCAGTCGCCACTGGGTAAACATTACTGAAAGTTTTTAATAATTTACCTTCAAATACTGCGACTTTATATAATTGCGCTTTTACCTTCTACAACTATAGAGGTTCGCCTATTGTTACCTGGCTTCCAAATCAACTTTCCACTATCATAGAGCAGATAGCACGCATTGGTCAAGCCATCAAATATTCGCGATTGAATTTAGAGAATAAAATTCTTGTTGATGAGATTGTAAGGAAAGCCGAAACTCAGCGTCGAGTTCTGAGGCGTGAAGTGGGAATCCTGAAAGAAATGTTTGGCGCAGAAAGTCAGGATCGTGTGGTTGTTTAATATGGTTAATATCCACGCATATTATCTATTTTAAAAAGTGAGATTATTTATCTTCTTTTGAAATATGCTACGGGATTAACCAATTTATATGATAACATACTGGATCTTGATATATATCACGTTTAATATAAAATATAGAATGATGTTGCGCGACCTTAAACGGCGAACCAATCGCTTATCTTCCGCGTCAGAATAGAAGCCAAATGGTCCATATGCGGTATATTAAAAAAAAAGGTGTATATTAATTGGACGTGAAAAGGAATAACAACTTCTATACGTACAGTATATTCTAAAGATACGGTATATCCTTTATGCTTGATATGTTTATTATACATTTAATATATCTAATGTACTTAATATACCCTTTATCCTCAATATGTTTATTATACATAGTATGTTTGATATATTTTATACACCTTTTATTCTCGATATACAGTACCTATAACAATATACTCTATATATTATAGCTATCTCATGTCAAATAAGTTTTACAAATTATTTTTTCTTTATAATGATAATTTTTTTTAAACCAATAATTCGATACAATTACTTACAAAAATTCGAATTGACTTGCTATGGTTTCATTCAAAAATTTCAAACGTCTATCTACGTATTTTTCTCAAAAATATTTTTAGTTTTATTATTGTCGGAAGATTTTTTTTGGTTTTTTTTTTAGCTAAATGGGCATACATATTGACTGCTAATTTCTTTTTCAATATACATTATATAAAAAATCTCTACATATTTACTATATCTAGATTAATATACTTTATATTAAATTTCATAAGTATATTATTTAGTAATTACTGCCTTGCTAATACTATTTTTTATTCATTTTATTTGCTATATTTACAAATAAATATGAATCAAGCTATTTAAAATAATAATTTGTTTTTAAATTCTTTTTACTAATCTTCTGATGATATATAAGAAATAATTAACTTTTTGATTAATAACATCTTGATACTTTCTTTAAACAATTTGAAGGATATTTTTAAGAATCACTTTTATATTTCTCTAAATTTTTTTGATTAAGAACTTACTTTTAATCATTAAAAAGATTCAATTAAATATCTTTATTATCAATAATAAAAAAGTTTTTAAAGAAAAAATTCTAATTATGAAGTATTTAAGGATTTTTTATCTTTAAAGTAGTAATAAAAAATTTGTTTTTTTTTTTTTAATTATCTTGATTCTTTTAAAGTTTATAGTTTTTTAAAAAATTTAGCTTAATATAATTTGATCTCAAATTTTTAAATAATATAATTTTTACTAAAAATAATAAATTAATGCAAAACATATTAGTTTTTTGAAATATATATTAATTACAATTATATATTTTAATAATTTTATTGATAATAAAAAAAATTTTTAAAAAAATTCTTTTAACTAAATAAGTTTTTAAAAAGAATAACAATAATATTAATAAACCTACATATTATATTTTAAGTTTTTCAAGTAATAAAGATACTTTTTTTTAAAAAAAACCAAGTTTTCAAGTTTCTATTTCAATTAGTTAAAATACCATTAATATTATTATTCTAATTAAATTATAAATTCAAATTTTATAAGTAAAATAAAATTTTCTATTTAAAGAATTTAAGGTAATAAGTTCTTTAAATAATATAAAATATTAATAATCTATAAATAAATTCTTGTTTTAATAATAATATTAATTTATTTTATATTATTTAATTAATTTAATATATTTTTCTAATTCAATACTATTTTAAATATCTTGTAATTTATTCTATAAATCTTTTTTACTTATAATTTATCCAAAAAATATATACAATTAATATTTAAGTTTATTCCAAAGATATTCTATTGGATTAAAATCAGGTAACTAGGTAGGTTATTCAAAATAATTAATAATATTATTATTAATTCTATCTTAAATTATATTGCATTAGTGTACTGCAGACAATAATATTAAAAGTTGGAAGAGTTTTTATCTGAACTCTTAATGGAGTGATAAATTACTTCCAAAGTTGTACTTAGAGTAGTATTACAAAGACAAGTGAGCTAGTTAACGTTTTTTAGCTTTAGCAATTCATATTATATGTATAGTTTACAAATGTTTAATAAAGCAAACATAACTAGCCTGACAGAGAGTTAAAAAAAAAACAAGTTTTAAATTATATTTAAAATTATTATTCTATTGAAAAATAATAATATTTTTTATTTATATTATATTATTCAAGTATTTTTAAAAAATTCTCTTTAAATATTTAATAATAAAATTTCCTATCTATTTTCTTATTTATTTAACAACAATTTCTAATTCCTTAAAAATAAAAATAATTTAAACTATTATTAATTTTTTTTTAATTGGTCCAACTGATAGGATGAAACTTTATTGAGATATTTAGTAATACATTATTAGATTACATAAACAATTCATATAATTCTATTTTAACTATTTATTCTTTTTAAGTATATAAATTTTATTACATGGTGATATTATTTTCATCAGTTGCTTTGCTTTATTCAGATCTATAGCATTCTAAAGATCCACTATCAAACTTCTTATTTTAATTTTCAAGGAACTTGTAATATATGTTCCTTAGTAAGATCTTGTTTATTATTTGATGATAGTGGATACTACAGATAATTCTTATTATATTTAATATTTAACAGATTAGTTAAAACTTAAATAGTATAGTTTTTCAGTTATATTCTTGATATCCTGACAATTTAATAGTATTATAATGATTGAGTGACATATAGCCTTCCATTACCATATTTTTAATTACTTTTGTAAACTGGTCTATAAGAGTTTTACTTGGTCAACTAAGATTATTTGATTTTTTCAAATGCAAATACCTTCTATAGTTCTTAATGTGATACTAATACTTATCACCAACCTTCGCAATAACTGTCCTCTTTAATAGCCATTGATATTATAATTGAAACAATTTTCTATTAATTCATTTATAGTTTATTATACTTTCAACAGGTACGAATGATCAAAGTCTTTCTTATCTTCTATAGACTGTAGTTTTAATATTAAGTAGATTTTCTTCCCATATTCATTAAAAGGTTTAGGCCAATTGAAATTTTTCTTTGGCTTGTCTTTAGTGCTTTTATATATTCCAGATAATAGGATTTAGAGTTTTTCTTAATATTAAAACTGATTAAGATTATATAATCTGAATTATATCATAGTTAGACAAGAAATTTCTATAGATTATTTTTACATACAAGCATACATATAATTGATAAGCCTATATTTGTATATTGTAACTTATATAGTAAAAACCATTCTAGAATGAAATTGAATCAGTATTTATAGATGTTGACCTGGAAACATATTTGTCTTGCTATTGATCCACAGGTTATTTCAAATTATTATATAATATTTCTATTGTTAAATTTAATTATTATTTTAATATATTTTTTATTTTTTTATTATTTTTTTTAACTTATAATTAGGTCAGCATGGCATATCTTTATTGTATGTATACAAAAATATTTATAAGATATTTTAACTTTCATATATTAATTCACCTATCACTAAAAAACTATTTCTCTAGATGCAACTTAGGGAATAATATTTTGCTTCTTTACTAACTTAAATAAATCCTCTAGCCAATAAAATTATTACCTACAGATCATTACTGTAGATTATTTTAAATTCTGTTTGCAGTTAAAAACCAAACCACTTAGTTCTATGATAGGCTATAATAATTTATATAAAAAGGGTTACTAATAAAACAAGACAATATCAAAGATTCTATATGGATATTCCATAAGTATATTGTAATAGATACTGTAAAAAGAATATTTAATGAGACAAGATATGAAATGGTCTTGTATTATAGACCCTTGTTTATAGAAATTAGGATTAGAAAGAGTAATACAGATATAGATAGTGGAGAAATAGGGCTTTTTCCAACAACAAGTCATGGGGATATCATGTAATTATAATTGAATTTATCATCATAAAGGTAAATTATCATAATAACTATAGATTTAGCATAAAAGAATAATTATAGAATTTCACTATAATTATTGAGTTAAATATTATATGTATACTGTTTATCAACTTCAATAAACTGGATTCTGTTATCCTTAAAAAAAAAACAATAATGAAAAAAATATATTATCTGATTTAAATATAAATTTAAAAGCAAATGAACTATTCATCAATAGAAAAAGTCAAAGAAATCTTGCTTATATTTTATATCAATTTGTAAATAATTTAAAAAAAATATTAAAATTCTTATTAAATATTTATAAGAACAAGAATTTGTAATTTTTGATTTTATCAAGCCAATAAATAATTCTTTAACAATTAAAATTAAAATAGGATATATAATTTAATTTAAAAATTCTAAAAATTAATTATCTCCCTTTTCTTTAATAATTTAGACTTTGTAAAAACAGATGATATAGAGTATTGAATAAAAATACAGTAGCTCACAAAAGTCTTGCACCATCAAAAATTTAAACATCAAATCTGATTAACCAATAATAATTAGTATTTAAAAGT